ATATATATATATATATATTTGAAGTAAACTACAAGCCCAGAAAGGTGGTGGAGCAATGCTGTTTAATGCCACTTGATAATTTAACTTACAATTTTTGACCCATCGGTGCCCTTTGTAAAAGTTGTTTTAATAATATTGTTTTCCTACCTGTTTGTCCACAGCACATATGCCTGAAAGAAATAGGATAGCAGAGATCTTATGTGGAGTGACTGTACCTCTCTGGCAGAGCTGGTGGAGGAATGTTAGCATATTAACTTCCAGAACTTTGACCAGAGCTGGTACAATCGCTTTCACAGAAGGACACCTGTCCTTATCCTAATCGACAAAAGGAGATAAGTGATCCACTGAAGGAAAAATACAGTTTGCAGTACTCTCAAGGATGTGACCTGGAGTATATGGAAAAACACCCTGTCTGTATTTTGGTATATTAGATGTGGTGCATGAAAAGAGATCAGAATACAAATCTCCACATCCCATCCCCTTAGTAAGCCCATAGCTCACATAGCTCACATATCATCTAGTTATCTCAATATGCTATAATGAAAAAAAAACCAACAAACCAACTTCGAGCCAAAAACTCATAGCAGCAAACTATATCTCACCCTGTTTCATCCAAAACTCCGTGCTTCTGACATGAAATTCCTTAACAGAAAGATGGCTTTTGTTGCATCACATAAAGGCTTACAAAAAGGCTTGCTCCAAAGGAGGAGCAAGTTTTCAAGTTCAGGAGGCCTTTTATGGTATGACTTGCTGGCAGCTTTCTCCTTACGTGTAACAGTTCTCTTTTCACAGTTTTGGGTTGGTGTTGCTATTTTTTAAAATTGTTATGGCATTTTATTTTTACTTGGTTTAGCATTCTTCACTTTCAACAATCGATAGATTGCAGCACGTCTGAAGCCTCTTTTAACAGATAGGTTTACATACTGCTCAACTTTATCCCAACTAGATTGCTCTGACTGAGCTTAGAAGAGGACGCGTGGACACTGGCCCTGCCCTACAGTATAGCTTCACAGAGGAAAGCTACCTATTTTCTCATTTTGACCTCTCTAAGTTACTGGCAGAGTGATCTGTACATTCCTCTTGCCAATTGTCTAGAGAAGAGTGCTCAAAAGAAGGGAACAAATTCTATCTACACTTAATGTCTTGTTCAAGCCTTAAAGTAACTCTTAGCTTCATATTGCCACACTGTCACATAATCATAGAGTCTGCAATATTTAATACTGGGCAAAGGGTCCTTCAGGAGCAGCCAAAAGCTAAATTCAGTGGATGATGATATACCAACAAAAGCAGGCTTCCAAAGTGCCAAACACATATTATATTATGGTCATGATGGCTGCAGCAGAACCAAAGGGATTATCTGCCACTGAGGTAAAAAATTCAATTTGAGATAGACTTAGTGCAGAATCTCAGGGCAGAGCCTTAAAAAGTTATCCAGTCTTAGGCGGAATAGTAAGTTGCTTTCTGTCAGGATAATATAAGCCTATTAAGCAGGTGAAAAAGCATTGCTAACTGCTACATCCTTTGCGGGTGCGCTGATTCATGCTGGTGGCATACCTGGTCTGTTGATCCCTGTCTTCTGAACCAGCCAGTCCTGGAGTGTAGCTCTGTGGGGAGTTCCTGGAGAAGAAGATGAAAATGATTCTAAGTCTCAGATCTGTGCAGCTCATATTAGTATTGATACGCTTGTGAGAGAGAGATTATGCTTTGAATGCAACCTGCAGTCTGTTTCTCCATTAAATCATTTCAGCGCATATGAAGGTGGAAAGGATCATTGGATTATTTAAAATTAAATGTATGTTTCAGGCCAATTAATTGAAAACTGTCAATCTTCAGAAACTTGATAAAGCCCCAGACTGAAGCATTCTGTTCTTCAGGAGATCAAATTGTTTGTGCCACAGGAATAGCTGAGACAAAGATGGTTAGACACCTTAACTTTCTTTAATACCTGATGTCACAGATAGGTACTTGATTTTTCTCACAACAGAGGAGGCTAATCCTGTCCCTGCGCTGTGCTGCTTGACATGCTGAATGTCTAGATCACACACGTCTATACTGCCACACTTGCTTACCTAGAGGAGAAATATTGCAAAAAAGAGGGGAGGGGGAAGAATGTGGACAATGCAGCTGCTCCTGTCTTTCAGAAAGTCATACAGATTTTTGTCTTCACTCTTTCTTAGTGAACTGGACTACCATGATGCTGCAAGTGTCAATGATAGATGCCAAAAGATATGTGACCAATGGGACAGCCTGGGAACACTTACTCAGAAAAGGAGAGAGGCACTGGAGGTAAACCACATAACACTAATCAGCAGCTCAGCTGAGGCAGGGAGTTGGGGAATGAACCATTTGTTTCTGATTTGAAAACAGCACCACTGAGCATGCCCTTTGGAATCCAACCAACAGTAAATTCTTTCCTTGACTTTCCATTTCATTTTGGTGTGGTTTCATTTGCAGACTTGACAGTACTCAGCTGTCAGCGACAGTTCTAAAGAAACAACAAATGGCATGTCATTTGTACCACCACTCTTTAGGAATTTCGTGTCCAGCAAGGATAACAAAAGCCATTAGGCGCTTACCTTTTCATATTTGTCTGAGGTTAATCAGCAGCCAGCACTGAGTTAATTTTTCTGTAGTGAGTATTCCAAAGCACTATTCCAAAACCGTGTTCCTTAAGAAAAGAGGAAGTCACACACGTGTATGCCAAGATGGAAACCATATGTCTAACTCTTCCTTTCTATACTTACAAAGCAAGATTAGCAAATTTTAATTGATTTGCAAATAGTAGTTTCACCTGTTATCATTTTTATTGGTCATACACCCCTTTTAAGATGTTACGGCTGAGAGTATCTACTGCAATTAGTTCTATTGCCTTGAGTGAGAATCCTTAAAGCAGGTGGTGAAATCAGCCAACAGTACAGCCAGTTGCTTTTGAAGAGGCATGACTTTGTGCATGGGTGGGTATGCGTGTGGAGTCTTAGCCTGGTAACAAAGGAATGTACCTTTCCCAATCTGTACAGAGGACAGAGAAATTGCTCGAAACAATTGATCAGCTTCACCTGGAGTTTGCCAAAAGAGCTGCTCCTTTCAACAACTGGATGGAAGGTGCTATGGAAGACCTACAGGATATGTTTATTGTTCATAGCATAGAGGAAATTCAGGTAAATGGTTGTTTATTTTTTGGCATACAGTCATAGGGAAAACAAGAAAGGAAGCTTTTCCTTCTTGGAGAGTAGAATGCATGTAAGAAAAAGCTAAAACCTATCTGTCTTGACATTTTCTTTATGATAGGCAATGTTATAAACAGGGGGTTTCATTGGTATGAAAGAATATTCCAGAGATCATGGAAGAAGTGATAGTCCCGATAAAGTCAATGAGGAGTGTTTCATGAATGTATCTACCTGTATTATTTCCTGTATCTACAGGTACATGTAGACAGGGTGTTCAAAAGGCTGAGATAGGATCTGTGCTTATTTACAGCAAATCTTCCAGATATGGGAAGAAACATTAAAGTTATCATGCTTTCCTTCTCTGTTTCTGATTTTAGAGTTTAATCTCTGCACATGATCAATTTAAAGCTACTTTGCCAGAAGCAGATGGTGAAAGACAGGCCATACTGTCGATCCAGAATGAAGTTGAAAAAGTTATTCAGAGTTACAGCATGAGAATAAGCGCAAGTAATCCTTACAGCACTGTTACTGTGGACGAGATTCGTAGCAAGTGGGAAAAGGTAATGTATGCTAAATACATAAAAGATATTTTAACGTGGTATTCTAGTTTAGAAATAGTGAGAATACTCACAGAATTTTACACTAAATCTGTAAATTATTCTAGATCATCAGATGCCAGAATGAACTTTCTACAGTATCTTATGCTCTCCCTTATGTTTGCTAGGCTTGCTTCACAATATGCCTTGCTCCCATTACTCAATCATACCTATGTCATTTTTGGCTTTTTGGCAGGGCAAGAGAAGCATGAGTTAGGGCTAGTGCAAAGCTGGTGGCCAACCAGCAGGTGGGCCAGAGGGTGCTGTCAAAAGAACAGAAAATGACTGTGTTCTTTCTCTTGGTATGAACAGTAGTTTGTGTGTCTCTATCCAGCTGCTGCTTTTCATAAATGTAAAAAATTAACATCTTTGGGACCTTTAATGTTCTGTCCAAGTAGACTGAAATTAGCAATTACCTTAAGGAATTACTGAGGAGGGATTAAAGAGAGGCTTCTAGAGCAATCACACAAAGTTTATTTCATTTGGAACCAAGACAGGTAATATGCTGAAGGTAAATGATTGTGTAGAATGTATGAACTTAACAAATACATAAACTTACATGGACAATAACACACCTTCAATGGGTTATAAAAACAAAGCAATCAGAACTAAATTCAGAATCTCCCAGGTGATTCAGAAGGATAAGCCAAAAAAAAAAGCATTTGCAGTGTGTTAGAGACCTTCAGATATACATGATGGACAGAATGTGTCTCATGTTATCCTATTGTAATAGCTGTGCTCAAATAAAATGTTTTGCACTGACTTTTCTTAGAACTATTACTTGGACACTGAAAAATCACCCATGTTTCAAAAGAAAAACAAAGTAGCTGCTCTAATAGCAGTTTGAGTTGAGTAATTGTCTTGAACTTGAACCCAGACAGAGGTGAGAATGTGTTCTCTTTCCATGTCAGTCTCTCCGGTCAAGCTGTCCAAGAGCATGTTCGTTATTTCTTATGTTAGTACGAAACTGGTAAATAAAATAGTGATCATGTTTCTGGCTTGTCCTGATATCAACCTTCAGACTAATAAGAAAAAATAGTAACTGTAGACTTATTTGCTCCATTTGTTTTGCTTCACAACTATTTGCTTCTCAGTTGTGCCTACTTAACACTCAGTGCTTTCCCACTCTAACAGGTGAAGCAGCTGGTGCCTCAGAGGGATCAATCCTTGCAGGAGGAACTAGCCCGCCAGCATGCCAATGAGCGCCTGCGTCGCCAGTTTGCTGCTCAGGCCAATGTCATTGGGCCATGGATCCAGACCAAGATGGAGGTGAGTCTCAGACCCTCGCACAGAAGCTGATGAACAAAGTGGTTTATGATTTCTGATCTCTGCTTTATGTACAGGTCAACAGCAATCTCTATGATAGTTCACCAGCTGTTTGATTCTGAAGTATTTAGCTCTTCTTAAAACGATTTTTAGAACCATGGAAGCTTGTACAAGTAGTAGCTTGATGGTGAGCAGGAGATGTAGCTTTGAAAAATCGATTGCTAAACGATTACTATTTAGCTTCTGCTTTCTGTAAAGGAAAGATACCAGGATCACTGGGGTCTCAATACTAATTCCATAAATAAATCTGCCTCATTTATTTTGAAATACGTTTTCTACTGTAAAGTTTATCATCTTCACTGTATGAAGGTTTTATTACTATTGCTTCTTAGTATGAAAGTATTAAATATTATTGTGAACATTGGTCAAATTAGCAAATCTGAAGCTTAAACACTGTGGCTGGGGGGTGTCTTTGTTTCTTTCGACAGGAAATTGCCCGCAGCTCTATTGAAATGACAGGGCCTTTGGAGGACCAGATGAATCAGCTGAAGCAATATGAGCACAATATCATTAATTATAAACACAACATTGACAAACTGGAAGGAGATCATCAGCTTATACAAGAAGCTCTGGTGTTTGACAACAAGCACACCAACTATACTATGGAGGTAGCCATTTACTCCCTTTTGTACTTGTTAGTTTATTCTGCTCTCTTCTGCCATGTAACTGATTTCCCTGATCTGAAGAGTCTGCAACAGACGATGGACTTCTCAGAAGACCTGTTTTATTTTCACTTATTTTTACTTTTAGTGAAGAAGTACCCATTTAGAAACCATATTTTTAGGAAGGCCATTTCTATTTTTAATGATCTTTGATCATAATATAGAGTTAGTGGTACAAAACAGGTATCATAAACACTTAGAGCTGATTTTTTGCTTATTGTACTTTTTATACTTTTAGAAGAATATATTTGATTCTTTAATAAATCAGTATTTTCTCTCTCATAGCACATCCGTGTTGGATGGGAGCTCCTACTTACCACCATTGCTCGAACTATCAATGAGGTTGAGACTCAGATTCTCACAAGAGATGCCAAGGGTATCACCCAGGAACAAATGAATGACTTCAGAGCATCATTCAATCATTTTGACAGGGTACAGTACTCCTGCTTTTTCTTAACTCACAACATGCATTGCTCCCAAAAGCAAGTTTCTTTTCATTCCAAATGTAAGCCTTTTAGAAAACTGAAAATGTAGTTGCATGGTCTTTTTTTAAAAGAGAAAAGGAAAAAATCAGTTAACAAAGAATTGTCAGCCTTATGAAATCACAGCATTGTACAGATAAAGATTAATTTCTATTCTTTGATTGTAATGAAAAAATACAGTTTTGCTAATATGGTTAAGTATTTGTTCAAATAATAGGCAGAACTGGATCAATCTGTGCGGTTTGGAAAATAACATGCCCCTTTATTTTAAGGCAGTGCAGCATGTTCTGCTTGCCAGAGGCTTCCATCTCATTAAATTTAGCTGTAATCTGGATTACAGGTTTTTTTCTTTGCATCACAATTTTCCCCTAGAAGAGGTTTGTAGGGAATATAATTGGGGCACTGATAGCTGTGAAGGAAAATCCTTTTTATTTCTGGCTGCATGTGGGAAATAAGAGGTTGGGTTTTTTCAGTTAATCTAATCATGGATGAATAAAAGTAGGAATGAAAACACTACTGTAAAGCAACTCAACTCACTCCTTCTGTAAGTTATGCAGTATTCCTGGATAGAAGGTTAAAAAGATAGCTACTAATAGACACAATAGCAAAATACATGCAGACAGTGACCTAACATTCTAAGCTGGAGAACAATCTGTGCATGTGTTAGCTCTGCTGGCTCCGTGCTCACATGAACCCACCTTCAAACCAAGTTCACATTTCAAATACTGAAAAAGATTATCCTAATACAGCACCAGGCTGTGTCTTTTTCCCATTACAGATTCCTGAAGTTAGCAGACTGTGCTTAACCCCTAACTGTAATCATGATTATTCTGTAATCACGAGTCAGCTCCTTCAAATCATTTCAGGCTGTAGCAAAATGCCACTTTCTTTTCACTGTTGTCCTGTAAACAGCTCTACTCAAAATGGTTACCTATGCCTGGACTTCTACTTCATGTGCATTGGATGCTGACAGTCATAGTTTGCTAAATGTTCTTTAGAATATCCTTAATTGTTTAGAAAGAAAATCTTAATTGCCAAACCTCTGTTTTTGGAAGAAACACATAAGCATAGGAAAGGTTAGCTACACAGGAACCATGAACAGATGTTATGGAAAATCTTAATGTGAGTCTAGTGCAGCGTAATTCCTTCTTGTATTTTCTAAAAAAGCAGAAGATAGCATCACAGAAGCAGAGATAAATTTCCTAGGGTGGAAAGAAGTAGGATACTAAATGACTTTCCCAATGCACTGGAGCAGATAACTCCAGAGCAATTTGAGCTATTAAAAGCAGACAGAGTGCCAGGCCTGGACAAATTATGGTCCAGTATTTGAGAGACCCTATTAAGGGAAATCAGGGACTTTGCACAAAGATTTGACAGCTCCCCAAAGGTAAGGGCTGAATCCTAGTATATCTTACTCTAGATGGCCATTTCTAGCATCCCTGTGTCTTTGTTCATAGATGAATTCTCTGCCACGCTCGTGGAAAGGCTGGTTCAGTGGCTAAGGAGATGTTACAGGCATCTTTGGTGCCTCAGAAGGTCTTGAAGGGAGACGCTAAATCCTACACCAGTCAGCTCTATTGTTACGGATCTTTAGGCTTTGCAGATACAGTAAAAATTTGAGATAGTAAAGGATACAATAAAGCAAGGCAGGTTGTATTGCCTGGAAGAGAGTGCTCGTGTCACACAGCTGCAGGCAGGTTGGAGATGGGCTATGACAATAGCGCATAACACAGATGTGCTTCTCAGCTCCTAGGTCCTTGCCTAACCCTGGCTGCCTCCTTTCCTCTGCCTGTAATGAGTCATGGCTTCAGGCAGTGTCTGTTCTGCCCTTGCTTCTGTTGCAGGAAGCCTTAATGGCTGGGTCAGAAGTGAGAGATGCTTCATGGGTTTCTATGGCCTCAACAGCCTGGGCTGCACGTTTAGATGCAGACCTTACCTTCCCCCATGACAGATATAATCCAGAGACCTTAAAAAAGAGGCCTGGAAGGATCACGATAAGAAAAGGACCATTTTGCATATGCCCCCTTTAGTATACTCCTTCTCTTAGCATCAGACATGGAAAATTGGTCTAGAAGGATTTTTGCACTGACACAGTGCAACAATTACATTCTCAGTTAGCCTAATGCAAATTAAAGAAAGGAAGAAGGTAAGATCTAAAACCACTCAGCCATCAATCCAGGCTTTCTGCAGGGGACATATAGTAGAAACACTGATAAAAGAGAAACTGAAACTGATTAAATTACACTGTAATTTGATGGGCAGATGCGACTCAATCTGCAGAGGCCAGAAGGAGACATTGAACAAACCATGTTTGAGAGAGGCAGGCTTGTTTTTCATTTTTAGATCCTTCCTATGTCAGATGGAATTAGCAGTGTATGTGTTAAGTTTTGTTGCGCTTAGCAGTGTTTCTGAATGCCTGGCAGGGTTTAAAAAAACACACTGAAAGAAATGGACTTCTATTCACAGCGATGAATAGCCAGAAAAGATCCCAAAAATGAACACTGTCCCTGAGGAGTAGGCTTTAAATACCTAAGCACAACAGAATCACTTAGGCATTCTATAGTTCTGACTTCTGTGGCATTTCTCCAGTGTAAGACATACTTTAATGTTTGACTTTTAGTATGTGTTGAGGATGTGACCAGAGTAGTTCCCTTCCCCATTTTAAAGAACGTACTTTGGTAGACAATAAACCTAACAACTTCTTTTGCTTATAGATCTGAGGAAGGAATCTCTATCTTCCTCCCTAGGAAGAATATATAAAAAAATAAAAATCTTACAGTTCATAATCCATTATGGGGCTTAATTCTGCAGTTCTTAATCCTTTGAAAGAGAGCTAAATATCTGGGTGAATTGTTTTAACTGGCTTCTACATCTTAAATATCTGAAAGAAAACTATTCAGGATACAAGTGTTTTTGAGGGGGCTACATGCCTCTGACTCTCAAACTGCAGTAAGTGGGCACCATGCACATAAGAATTACACAGGCAGGAGGAGTTGTGTCTCTTTCAGTGCATCCACCAGCAGAGATGAGCTAGCACAGAAACCATAACAAGTTATCCTTGTTAAAGTCAGGTGGTAAATATGCGATCTCCCTTGGGTCAGGGGGGCAGCCCTCTAGGCTTCTGTGTTTCCAGCAGGCATGTATGCACACTGGTACCCCAGAGGTTGTTACTCCTGAGGATGCTGCTGCTTACCCACTACTCCTTGCTGGAGGCTGTGCCTGCAGGCACAATCTGGTTGTAGGTATAAATATAAATCTTTAGCAATGCGGGTTTTATTTCCTTCCTTAATGTGCCTGCATAGAGAAATAAAGTGAGACACAGTGTCTGAATCACAGAAGCAGTTTAGAAGTGTTCAAAATGGTGCATAGCTGAATAATGGGATGCAGACAAATTGGGACACCAACACAGGGACATTGTCAGTCACTGATCTCGAAGTCTTTTTATGCAAGGATTCCTTTTTCATATCCAGTATATTTAGTACATTCTAATAAGATTGCAAAGTATGTGACAAAGTATCTGCAACTGCTCTGCATGTAATATCCTAATGGCTGTTAACATATTCTACTATTGATTTTTGTGCAAACTACAGATTTTAAGTAGGAGCTCTGCATGCCAAATGATGGCATCATGCCACCCTATATTTTACTAACAGAAAAACAAGAGCTCTCTATTAAGGGAACCACGTGATCAGGCTTATGCAGGTCAATTAGTGTTCAGGAACCTGAAGGACGCGTTTTAAGAATGGATTACTTGGACTCAGAAGCTCACTTTTTTAATAGGGCCACATATAAATCACAAAGGGGGAGGGAAAGATTTCTGGGGACTAATAATGAAACAAGAAAAGGGCTTTCAGTGTTTTACTTTTTACTGGCAGGAAAAGATGAACAAAGCAAAGTTATTTATATGCTTTAAAAAACTGATTTCAGTGCTTAATGCTGGTCTGAAACAAAGTAAGTACAAAGAAACATTTCCCAGTGTACAGCACTTGCATGGACTTGATCTGTGCATTAACTGTAAAATACCATTGTATCCCATGAAACTGGTGCACTGCAAAGGCAAAGATGCCTTTTCAGGACATACATGATGCCAGTTAGAAAAAATCACTACAAGAATGTGAAAACCTGCTATAGTATGTGGCACAGCTACCTGGACCCTGACTGGGGAGTCTCACTTAACCAGATGATGGTTATGAGCTCCAACACAACCACTGCTCCTCTCCTGGTTTCTCAGTAGACCTGCTGGCCTTACTCCCATCTTCCTTTTGCTACCTGTTGCACAACTACTGCTGCCACGTGTGCCTGGTTAGGGAGCTCATGCACATACTGACCTGGGGTAGGCAAGTAGCTAATAGTTCTCTACCAACACCTGATAGATCAGGTCACCCAGTATATCTTCAGCTTTAGAAGTAAGGTAAAATGAGCTGACTTCACTCTTGGTGAGACCTGTCTCAGCCTGTCTCCTCCAGGATGGTTTTTGAGAATTTCAAGTCAGCCTAGATCATCATATTCAGAATAATTTATAGCAGGAATTATCTTTTAAGATGGAACTATTAAAGGAAAAAAGCTTCACTGTGATTATGGCTTTTAACTAAATGCAGCTCCAGTTTTGCAGCTTTGCTTTCTCTCTCATCAGTGACTTCCTGCTATTTTTTTTTATCTTCCCTTTATGGAGCTGGTGGAGGTTGATGCAGAGGGAGTCAATATAATAACAGCAAGATATATCAAAAATGCATGGTGTTATTAACTTTATGAAGTGCCACTTTATCCTTCTAGTATATTAAATAAACCCAGTGCATTTGTTAAAACTCCTATAATTTTAGTTATGCATAACTATATAGAAATTTTTAAAAATACATTTTTCATCTAGCAGGCAAATATGTAGCAGACGGAAAACATTGGATCTTCTCCAATCTGCCAGTCTGTAAAATCAATAAGGGTAATATTTAAACTTAGAATATCTCTTTAATTGTATTCATGCTAACTCAATTTGAAGTACACCACTGATAGGACACATTTGGTATGGACAGAAAGAAAAAGATGAGTCTGTTTTTAAGATGTGGGTTTCTTGACCTGCCAGATGGAAAATAATATTGGTTCAAAACAATGCTCCAGTTTCATGGAGTGTTACTTGGAGCCATTTAGCCTGGAATTCAATGGGGCTTTTTTAAAGTCAGTTTTCAAAGCAAAACCTTATGTATAGGTTATTAAAGAAGACAAATAACTGAAAATAAGTTATGCCAGTTATAAATCCATTTTGTACATCTACTGTCTTTTGAGATATGCATATTCAGTTGTTAAGTATTATCAATGGGGGGAAAAAATGTTTCACTCAGATTCAGTGATCTTTTTACTGCATCTCACACACACTATATGACAACAGAAAATGAAGGAAGCAAATGGCAATTCAGTGGAATAAAAAGTGCCTTGTCAGCAAAAATGTTAAAAAAGGACCTGTAGAGGAAGCGTAGTTTTAACTCTGTAGTTGAAGTAAGGACCCTCTTCTACTAAGAAAAAAACTAAATCACGAAGCTGCAAAAGTAGTATCCTTTTTAGGTAATTCATTGCAATATATAGAATGTTCCTTACTAACCAACTAACCTGATCTGTGGTTTTTCTTTCTTTCCTTTCACTTTCCCAAATGCATGCACCTGTGATGGGATGCTAGGATGAATCTGACAATCTGCATTCTGATGAATTTAAAGCCTGCCTCATCAGTCTAGGACAGGTTGGAAATGACCTGCAGGTAGAGGAAACTGATATTGTTCTGTTTGCAGATATATCAGTATAGTAACAGCCAAAGAGATTGTGGGTTTAAATTCCAATGTGCTGGTCATAATACTTTGAAAAGATCCTGCCCCTGGGAAGACAGCTAGATTAGATGGACTGTCAGCATTACTTGGAGCCATATTTTTCTATGCATTTTTCAAAGACCTTTCAAGTTGTTTCTTTTACTTAGTTTGAGATGGTTTATTTGGAATCTACTAGGTAACTCGAGGAGCTCCTACACTTCTTGCACTCAGACTTTTGCTATTTTTTCCTTTCCTCAGGCTCTGTACAAGCTCTCTGTTGCTGTCTCCTGATTTAGGATGACACAATTCTCCCATAACAGCTACATTGTATCACAACACAGAAGAAACATTTATTTACTTCCTTACTAGAGTGACATTTAATAGGAATGCCACAGATAAGATACTGCCTGGAAAATAAGCAACCTCCTTTTATACAAGGTCTTCAGCTGTTCTCCTTCTAAGTCTTGGAAGTCTTTAAGCCAGTGTGCACATTTCTCTGCTGGAGTCCAGGTCTTGCAGTCAGAAGGAAAATCCCTGTACTTCCCATATGTCAGCACACAGCTCTCATAATGTACCTACCTTAGCCTTGGAGTGGAGTATTTGAAACAGTCAGTGACACACTGTTTTCAGACTTGGTTTTAACTATACTTTTAGCCACTACAGCATCCCATGCAGAACCTTCAAAGACATTTCATATTAGGGAGGCAGCTTGAGCATCTCCTGAATTTGACTAGTTTAGTAACAAACTTTTCTCATTCCCCTTCTCTTTATCTTCTCTGGTTGTGTTTTCCGTATTGTCTCCTTCACCTCCTTTTATCCCTTATCTCTCCCCTCACCTTTCCTGCTGTTACTTTTTGTGGTGAAAATGTCTGTTTCTTGTGTGTAACATGTTAGTTACTTCTTCCTCCTTTAAAATTGATGATGATTCCGGTGACCTGCTTGGGCAATATCAATGAATATGTTCATACACTGGATCAAATATGCCAATGGTCTAAACTCCTCGTCTCTCTGGAAATTGGATTCTTCAAACCTTCCCTTCTGTATTCCTTACGTTGTTTTGGTCAATAGAGGAAGAACGGATTGATGGACCACGATGATTTCAGAGCTTGCTTAATTTCAATGGGTTATGATTTGGTATGAATTTTAAGAAACAATGGCAAATGATTCTGCTTACAGTTTATAACATTAATCAGAGCGGCGCTAAAGCTGATTTGAATTGGCATATTACTAACAATTTAATTTACACTTTAGAGATACTAGTTTCTTGTTTCTTTGGCTTTTCTCTATTTTCAAATGGTGAAAAAAGAAAATTAGAAGTAAAACTAGACACTTGAAAGCCATATTCTATGGTTCACTGCATTGCTCTTTGAATTAAGGAAACTTTAAGAGTTGAAATTAACAGTTAGTAATTTTTTTTTTTTGCTTTCTCATTTTTTATCTGCCTGAGGAAGAATGAGTTTGATGCTGTTTAATTCTCCTACACTAGCTTCGGGGCTTGCATTTTCTTTCCTTCACTTTTTTTATTCTAAAATTTCACCCCCAAATGCACCCTTTTTACTGGAAAAAAGGATTAGCCTTAGTTGATCTGTCCTATATTTGGAATGAAATTTTCAGAATTGTTTCCCTTCTAGACACACTGAACTAAGAAGTAAGTACACTGCTTCTTAGGCTATTGTTTCACTTCCCTCTGCGGTACCTAAATTACAGTGGGTTTAGGATGGGGTGGAAAATTAAGTGTTATATTAAAACAGGCTAAACAGGCACTGAGGGAGGCTGGGAGGGGGGAGAAGTTGCAGAAAGTTAATTGAAAGAGACATACTATGTATTTAGGACAAGGAGTACATTTTTCAAAAGCACTGAGTTCTTTTTACAAAAGAGGGGTGGGTATTGAAGATCCCAGATTTCACTGACATTTATGTTCCTAAGTCAGGAAGATGCTCTAAAGACTTTGTAACCACTGGTCCCTACTGGTTCATGAGAGACAGGGGCTGTTTGTGACTGATGTTATGGTGACCATTTTTTTTCTTGTTTTGTATTCTGTGAAAGGGTGAAGCTGAGTTTGCCCGAATCATGTCTCTGGTTGACCCCAATGGGCAAGGAACTGTCACTTTCCAGTCCTTCATTGACTTCATGACCAGAGAAACGGCAGACACAGACACGGCTGAGCAAGTGATAGCTTCCTTCAGAATCCTGGCTTCAGATAAGGTCAGTCATCGTGCTGCTGTCTGAGAGGATTCAGTAGCTCTCCTATTTAGCCCTTCTTTGCTGAAAGCCACACAAGCCTTTTAGTAAGAGTGAAGCTTTGTTTTCAGGTTGTAAGACTTCAGAGAAAGCCCTTGCCTTTTCTTCTTGTTTGGAAACAAGACTCTTAGCTGAAATAGCTGCAGAATTCAAGACTTGGTCTGTATACCCTCATGTCCAAAGAGGCAACATAAAATTTGACATCTTAGACAAGACTTAGGCAGTTTGTCTGTATAACGGATATATTGTATATCAGGTTGTTTCCACACAACAGCCTTGATTAGAGGGGAAATAATTTTGCCTTTTGTGATGTTGTCTGGATGTTTCAATGCAGAGTTTGGCTCTCCGGAACATAGCCAGGGTCAGTTGCACAAGACTACACCTAATGGTGAACCATGTTGCAACCTAACAGCTCATTCAACAGGGCGATGCAATGTGGTGTACCCCTACCCTAGGAGGAGCAGGAGGAGAAGGAGGCCTCCTCTACTAACTGGGTTCATGGAGGAAGCTTTGAATTTGGCGTACTTTCCTTCCCACAGCCAGATCCACTGCTGAATGAGTGGTGTATGAAGATGAAAGGGAGGATAATGGCAACACAAGAGCTTCTGAAGGAGTCAGGGCCATAAACAGTGCTGCCAGGAAACCAATTCTGTGCTACGGAGAAAGGAGAGATCACAGCAGCCCTATTTGCCCAAGCTCGCTCTATTGATTTTCTCCTTCTGGCAGTTTGTATTGATTTTGTGATCCCAGTTACTGTGGATCACATTTTGAATTCCAGACATGTTCTTAGTAGCAATTCATGTGGAAGGTGAAAGCCAAGGTCTCAGGAAAAAACAGTTTTCATTACGTTGCTATTTTAAATAATGTCAAGTCTCTTAAACAGGAGGGTATCTTTCATATCATAAATACAAACCATTAAAAGCAATAATTCATCTTTATTGCAAATATATTAGGACCTTAAAGCTAACAGGATCTAACTGAAAATGTGCCTGTCCTGTTTCTGGAGAAGGGGCAGCAGTGTGCTTTGGAGATACGGACTAGCTATCCATGGATGGATGAGCTGTCTACACATGGCTGCACGCTGCTTGGTAGCTAACATACACAGACACGTAGCCTTAGACTGGATTTTGATCTAATCAGTTTGTTGGTAGGATATTCCCCTTCAACTAAACATCAAGGATGGAATTTACTGAGGAAAATATTTGGTCTTAGAAAAACAGACAGGATGTCCAAGTTTAATAGTCACAGCTACAGAAAATATTTTGTGTCTGAAGAATACATACTGAATTTGTCAATCCTTTCCCCCTTCCCAGCCTTATATCCTGGCAGATGAGTTACGCCGAGAGCTGCCTCCTGAGCAAGCTCAATACTGCATCAAGAGAATGCCTCCGTACACCGGCCCAGGTTCTGTTCCTGGGGCTCTGGATTACACCTCTTTTTCATCAGCACTGTATGGAGAGAGCGACCTCTGATTCTGTAATTGGCCGTCTTCACAGTAGACAGTAAAAATACCCACCTTATTGCCCAGATTGCTTCTCAAAAGCTTTGACAAGCTGATTTAAAAATGAGTTTTACAAATACAGTAGGTACCGTCAGTGTAAAGTGCTAGTAACTAAAGTAACTATTGTATATTAAAGTGTGCAGCATGCTAGATTTCTGCATTGTTGGTTTTAGGTTGTCTGTCCTATACAGTGATAGAAAAAACATATAAAAAAATTACAAGATGTTAACTTTGAAATATCCATTCAGAAAATAGAATGTAAAACCTAAAAGTATTGAGACTCACAAAATATTTCTCCATTTTCAAAAGGTTTCAATGCCATACGCGCTTCTTCTACAATGTTCATAAAACTATGTTAGAAGTCATGCTTTTTTCTTTCGTAGAGCAATATTATTTTCCTCTAATGATTTCTGATTTTGTATGCTTCTACTGGTGGAATTTAATAAAATAGCAAAATGCAGTTTTTCAGGGAAGAAATGTATCAACCAAGTAAACTACTTAATTGCAGAAATAATCCAGAATGCTATGCTTTTGTCTCTTAAAGATGGTTTTATCATATTACAAAGAGTTGTAATATAGGGGAGAAAGCTGATTAAATTGCAGGTTTAGAGTTCTGTAAGCAGTACTTTTCTTTAAGGCCTTTAACTTTTACATTTGAGGGAGTACAACTTTTATAATCTGAAATAATAAGGAAGCTAATTTCATGTGAGCTTTTTGTTTTGAAACCCTCATTTTTGTCTGTGTTGGACAGTCTTTGTTTCTCAGTATAAGAAAGTCAGTTCCTTGTTGTATCAGTGGGCAAGATTCACCTCTATCCTGCATACTGCAAAATCCCATCTGAGCAAATGTAGTGTGGTTGTCTTGCAGCTTTAACTGTTCAGTGCTCGAGTTTCAGTTTGTCTTGAGTTCTCCAGGATCGCAGGCAGTTCTGTCTGTATTATGCTCCTGTGCGCTAGTTGTTTACTGTTTTTTTGTTTTTCCATCTTGAGAAATGACAGAGAAATAAAAGCAGTAACTTTTTTACTTGAATCCTACCGACACTGAGGAAATGCAATGTAATCAAACAAAACCATTTACAAATGGTGATGTGAGCTGTGCAGCCCAGTGCTATTAAAGCAATGATGTGCCTATTAAATAAAGTATGCTTTTCAAAACCTTATGGGAGTCTGTCATTGGCAGTTACCTAGTGGTTCCCTCCAAGAACTGGAAATACTTCTGAACATTAAAGGAGGTTTCAATCTTTAAAAAAAAAAAGGCATGTCTTGCATTTCTGTACACTCTGTTTGTATGAACAGTTGCTGCATGCTGGAGGGACAGGTATGACTTCAGGAAGTGAGGTGGAACTCGGAATGCGTGGGACAGAGTTTCCATTTAGGTCACCTGAGCACAGATGTCGGTAGCTTGTTAGTCTTGTAGCTTTGATTGATTTCAGTAAGACTTAGGCACTAATGCTTTTGAAGATGTTGGCCTTTTCTGTATCTCTCCTTTTACCCATGTGCAAAAGTGATGTTAAATATGCAACGATGTTTTAATGGCCTTTGCTTTAAAATCTATGAATGGGAAGCACTAAAACTTTGTGTGTGATTTCAGTTCTGAAAGAGGCATCCTGCAGGTAAGGTACATGGGATGGCAGCAATTTCAAAACAACCCTGGAGGAGACAGGCAATGACCAAATGCCTCTTCCTCCTCCACCTTGTGTCCAATGACTAGCAGAGGACTTAGAGAAATACTAGGGCTAGAACCACATCTCCTACAGTGCATGTGCAGCCTTGCACACAGCCAGAAGCTGCTGCTGCCACTGCTGATACTGACATGTGCAGTGCCATCTCTTTTTGTGATGACAGTGCCCGTTCAAACTAAGTGGGGAAGCTCTGCCTTAAACCAGTGGCATTTACAGCTAAATGATTGCTGGACAGGCTGAATCATATTAAGAAATAAATCTCTTTATCTCTCATTGAAACAGTTTAATCCAACTGGAAGAATAAAACACTGAGCTTCCAACCATGGCACAAAAGCAAAATCTCAGTGCTACAGGCAGGATTATGCTAAAAATTGGCATAGAGACAGTTTATACCTGACACCTCTATTGGGTGTCATTCATACTCTCTACCTGCTAGTTTTTATATTGTGATATTCTTCCTAATTTTGATAGTATAGAAGAGACTTCTAAACTGCTCCTTTAGCTAAATGTTCTGTTGATCAAAGAATGTGAGAGATAATGTTATCAGCAGCAAGAGAAAAAGACTTTCGCAAAGTAATTTTTTCATTCCTATATCAGGTTTCTAATTTCTAAAGTAGAGGGAACAGAACCAGTGGCAGAGAGCTGCAAGGATTTATTCTCCATCTGTACTTGCTATACCATACTTCTTACTTCGTATTTATGAAAGTAATAAATATGGCATATGGTGAAAGATGGATGAATACATCTTTCACATTAAAAAAATATGTATAATAAGGTTATTTCTCCCAGCATCAATTATTTTTAGGGTAACTAGATTAAATAAGTAAGCTGTGCTATTATACCCTGATTTTTTCAGGTTCTTTCGTCAAGTTTCAGGGCTATGAGCTTAACAGAGAGTTTTTCTTTTCTTCTGAGTTCCATTTTCAGCAGATGGCATTTGCATTTTTCTGTAGAATCACTCTGATCACATTTGGAATCAATGCAGTGGCATTTTCTGTCTACGTAGTTCTGGCAGCAAACTAGCTTTTTACTGTAAAAAAGGAGCACAGTATCAGCACAGTAACTGAGCCCAAAGATAAAGGATACAGGAAAACTGACAGTTCAAAGCTGGATTTTATTTCTATCTCTTTATAAAATGTGCGATTCCTTCCTAATTTTAAGCCAAGGTGGGGGCTGCCACCACAAAGGACAACGTCTATCTCCACTTTTTCCGTGATCCTATTTATTTATAAATAGAGCAGTTCCCTGGTCCGGTTACCCTGCTGGCTGGGAACATACATCCAGGGCACTGAGAATGGCAGATTATCCCCTCCAGCAGCAGCCTGTATTTACATTGCCTTAAAGTGATGGTGTATCTGTGGAATTGGGTACACAGCCGCATACTTTCACTGGAAGTCCTTTATTATTCACAATAGAAGAATGTTTATGTGTAGACAACAAATCTTGAGCCAGAACCAGGAATACCACTCATTTCCCTCATGAAGTAAGAGAGCTACATTAAACGACAAGCCCAGTCTTTTCAGTATATAAGCTTGACAAGGATTTTATATTCTAAGCTTCAAAAGAAATTCCTCTGCCAATTTGCTAGGTTTTGGAAAATTTCATTAGCATTTGTAATGCTGCTTTGCACAAATTTATTATCAGCATATTACTTTAATTACTTGGAAATCAAGTACATGATACGAATGTCCTGAGGGGATAAATCTCCTGAGGCTATTATAACACCCATCCAGCCCTCATCTACTTGCCTTATCTACTGGCTGTTCTGTTTCAAAACCTGGCTGGTTTATTTGGCCCCAACTAATGGAAACTTTATTCCCTTCAAGACAGTTGTTAATGCTTCAAGTGAAAAATGCCCTTGAGCACTGTCCTCAGAAGGGCAGGTTATCACATGTGCTCTCCTGAGCTGGAACCTTCCAACTGCCCAATGGCTACCTGTGTCAGCAGCTCAGGTATATAGACGAGCTCTGCAGGCAGACCACAGACACAGAAAGTCCTGCTTCATGTTTTAGCTAGTCTGCTGACTACAGGAAATGTTTGCATATATTGCCAGCAAGTCTTGTCTTGATTTGGACTGAACTGGCAATATAGGCACACCAAATGAATATAATTTGAAGAAAAAAAACACCACAGCAAAGCCTAGAATGGCTATATCGAACATCTGGTTCAGACTTGCATCCTGGCTCTGACAGTTACCAGTAGTAGGCACAATGGGAAAGTATAAAAGCGAGGCAGCGTGTGGCCATGTATACCTAGAAGACTCTCTAAGCCTTCAGTAATTTGTAGGTCGGGAAGTTGTGGAACACTGTGTACCAATGCCAAAAATTTAGCCTGTTTTTTTCTGCTAAAGCAGTATCTTCTCTGAGCGCTCTTTTTGTATTCCTCTCAGCAGGGCCTACTCCTATAAATTCTCCAGCAAGCTATTTGATATGCTTAAAAAGGTCTACTCTTTGTCCCTTTACCTTTTGCAAACTGTTCTTCACACTCTTTTTTGTTTCCCTTATTATCGCTTAGACTTAACCTGCCAGAATTTATAATCCTATTTTCCCCATATGGACATGATGCCAGCTTTCTGAAGGGTGCTTGCAAAATGCAGGCAGTCCAAGAGAGATGAAGTTTTACCTCCCGTGAGATCAAAAAAAACCAAACAAGCAAACAAAAAAAACCAAACCAGTTTTAACGAACTTCTTAGCAAACCTGATTATTTAAATGAAAATCAGACACCAGTAATGTTTAGTGGATGCCCAGGTAAGCATGATGAATATATTTGGCAGACACAATGCTGTCGGACATTACATCCCTGAGGTCCTACTTACTGACATTGTGATTAAACCAAAGACAGAATTTAATATTGTACAACATGCTGATTAACAGTCTTGCTGTTATTTGTGCATCATCTTGGGACAACACTCCAGGGCAGTTCCAACTCTTAGCTTTGTTACTTGCTAACAGAAGGTGACAAAGCCTGATTGCCACAGCAAGCTGGCAAGCATCCAGACTGTCCAGCAAACACTGTTGCCACTTGTTGGAAGTAACAACTCTGTCATTATCTGAAGCAATTTGTGGGAGAGGGGGCTGAACTGTTCATATTTTGATATAAAAATGTACAAGTATATATATTATTTATATTTATTTATATTCTTTAGCCATTGTACTATTGTTTCCCATTTTTCATTTCAATGTAGTTGCATATTTACTTGTAAGAAGCTGAAATTATTCATTCTTCTCCTTAACCAATACATTTCTATCAGCCACCTTAACTTAAGAAGACTGCCCCAACATCACTCCGAATTAAGTATTTTGATTATGCTTGTGCAAAGCCCTTCCTTCCATCAAAACTGAGTAACTGGCTTTTTCAGTTTATTTCAGCACGAAAATCCAAAACCATTCCATTACAACTGACTCCAGCTGACCACCCTGCCACTCTCCCTGTTCTTGGGCAGGTTTTTTGTAAGATTCATTGTTCCTTCCAGCCAGACCAAGAGACCAGATGGCCTAGTTGGCTGTATTTGCAGAGAACAACTG